TTCTACATAATCATCTTCACTATTTCTCTTTCTTCTTAGTTATAGTTCCAAATTTGAGTTTAAGTTCTGGAACCTTCTAAAATATTTTTACTGCTAGGAATTTGTAATTCTTCAAAAGCAAGATCAATATCTGTTTCAGTTTTGTATCTTCAATAGCCTTTGGCTTAAAATTCATAGCAGATGCATGACTGATCTTACTATATTCTTGATACTTCCTGTGATCCACACACCTGCAGTTTGGCATAATTTCGGAGCTTGTTAGAGATGCAAAATCTCAGCCCACCCCAGATTTGTTAAAGTATAATCAAATTTTCAATAAGATCTCCAGATGATTCACCGGTACACAATCAATACTTCCTGGTGACTGAATAAACAATGAGTAAACAAACTGTATTGTTCTCCTTATTTCCAGTCTCCATCAGTAGCTTATTTTTTTTTCCCTCTTCTATCATTAGCTTATATGATAAATCTAGGTCAACTGATCTTTTTAAAATAATAGTTTTTTATGTCAATTCTGCAAAAAAAACAAAAACAAAAACAAAAACCCAAATAAAAAAATACCCAAACTTCAAATTTAACTGAATTGGGTAGTTCTGCCTAAATTGCAAAGCCTTTCAAAATCTGGCTCAAATTTCTACTCAATTTACCTGTCTTATCCTTCTACCTGAACCTCTTGTTCATTTCTAATTCTCTAGACCGTATTTGTTTCTACTTCTCTACTTTTGCGCATTCTGTTTCCTACTTGGATTAACACACTCTCTTTTCCTATCTAAATCCTACTCATTCTTTAAGTTCTAGCTTGAAACTAGAGATTTATAAAACTCTGACCAATCCAGGCCACAGTAGTACACAGGTATACAATATCTTGTCTTTATAATGATAGTAGAGAAGTATGGATTGTCAATCTCAGGTAGAGAAGTATGGATTGTCAATCTCAGGAAATTTAGATTCCATTTTTATCTCTGTCACTAACTAGTAGTATGATGCCGGGCAAGTTACTTAACATCTCTGGGTTTCAAAATGTGTCTCTTTAAAGAAAAAGACTATAGGAACTCCAACAGTACTATGTGCCAAACAGTGTGAGAAAACAAGAAATGTATTTTAATATATACATAATATTTATAAATGAATGATTTTCAAATACAGTTGTTAATTCTCAGGTATTTGAAGCATCCCTCCAGTAATCTTCATAGTACTATTAAATTAACCTCTTTTTTTTCTTTTTTTTTTTTTGAGGCAGAGTCTTGCTCTGTCACCCAGGCTGGAGTAGAGTGGTGCGATCTCGGCTCACTGCAAGCTCCGCCCCACCGGGTTCACGCCATTCTCCTGCCTCAGCCTCCCGAGTAGGTGGGACTACCAGCGCCCACCGCCATGCCTGGCTAACTTTTTGTATTTTTAGTAGAGACAGGGTTTCACCGTGTTAGCCAGGATGGTCTCGATCTCCTGACCTTGTGATCCGCCCGCCTCAGCCTCCCAAAGTGCTGGGATTACAGGCGTCAACCACCGTGCCCAGCTGCAAATTAACCTCTTTTTAAATAAAAGGTATAGTAAGCAAAGGCCATTTAGTCCAACTCACTTCAAAGAGTTACAAAGTCTTACCTTCTATTTTACATTGATTGTCAAAATTATGACAGGGGATAAGAATAAGAGCTGAGAAATAGAATCATATAGAATTTAAAAACCAGACTCAAACCTTTTTTAATGACACAAATAGAGCTGTCACTCTCTACCCTTATCTGTCATAGTTGAATAAGGTTCTGTGCTTATTGACCTTTTTTTTTTTGAGACAGACTCTGCTTGTTTCCCTGGAGAGCTTTACTCAGATGCTTCTGTGTAACAATATTTGCTTTCCTTAGCAAATGGCTAAATAGGAAGAAGAATGAAGGAGGGCAGCCTTCACAGAATATCAATAGGCTACAGATTAAATATCTTGTTTTCTTTGCTAAACTCCCAGCACAGATTTCCATTAGAACAATTATAAATTATTTCCTCCCACATCCCACCTCTGCATTCTACACCATTCACTCTGGACCCCTTCAGTATAGCACTCTAAGACTAAGAAAGCCTAGATTTGCATCAGTTTTTTTTTTTTTTTTTTAATTGTTCTCAGTTTGATATAAGGTATTACAATTCAAGAAAAGGGTATACACTAGAGATTTGTACATTCATTGAATTGCCTTAACCTGTTTATAGTTTTGTTGTTCTTTATTCTGTTTTCAGAGTATATTTTAGAGTTAAATGCAATATCACCATTATTAGGAAATGTCCACCACAAATTAACAGTGTGGATCCCAGAAAAATATCAGCATACCAACATGTTGACCTTTCAATGATGTTTTGGCCTTTAGAGTACATCAAGATAATGGCAGTATATATAGTACATTAAGTAACCTCTTTTTAAAAAGGTATAAAAGTATAACAGTAAGAGGGAGAATGGACAGAATTATAGTCCAGAATAAATTAGGGTAAAAATAATTTAAAAGCTCCCTTTTCCCTTGTAATATTTCTTAGAGCTCATTAATGTACTTAGAGGTACGGCCAGAGCCATTGGTAGGAGGGAAATAACCCTAAGAATCTGGTGTTTGTTTCATGAAGTTTCAAGCCTGCTTGCCTTTGTGTTTTCAAACTCTTGGATTTATCCCTTCTCTTCTCAGAAGTTGGTTTTGGTCTTTGAAAAAGGTGTATCTGGATAGGATAGTTTTTAGGTACTTGTACCTGAAATGATAGGTTACTGCTAAGGCCCAAATTCAAATAACTGGCTTTTTCCCCCCTTTCCTTCCTGTACACCGGCTTTACTTTCTCTTCCTAGGACGAGAGGTCCTGGGCAGGGTGATGCTAGGTAACCTGTACACTGGCTTTATTAGCATGGGCTCTAACTTGCCTGCTACTTAATGATAAACTTCTTCTTTCTTTCTTTCTCCTTCTTTCCTTCCCTTCCTTCTTTTCTTTTCTTTTTTTTTCTTTTTTTTTTTTTTTGAGATGGAGTCTCACTTTGTTGCCCAGGCTGGAGTGCAATGGTGCGATCTCAGCTCACTGCAACCTCCACCTCCTGGGTTCAAGTGATTCTCCTGTGTTAGCTTCCTAGTAGCTGGGATTACAGGTGCACACCACTATACCCAGTTAATTTTTGTATTTTTAGTAGAGATGGGGTTTCACCATGTTGGCCAGGCTGGTCTCAAACTCCTTATCTCAGGTAATTCACCTGCCTTGGCCTCCCAAAGTGCTGAGATTATAGGCGTGAACCACCACTCCCGGCCAAACTTCTTTAGAACTAAACATCCGTGTAAATACAAACGGTGAAGATTTTTAAAAGAATGACATTTGAAAACACACCAGCTTCTACTCCAGTATTCTCAGAGAAAGAAAAAAAAATCAGGAGGGAAGAAGAGAACTTCAAAAGGATAGATGACATAAAAGCTACTACCTTTCAGGTTACCGGCAAGATGCTTGTGTCCAAGGTTTACACCAGGGGTGTTCAATCTTTTGGCTTCCCTGGGCCACATCAGAAGAAGAATTGTCTTGGGCCACATATAAAATACACTAATGATAGCTAAGGAGCTAAGAAAAGAAAATCTCAAAAGAAACTCATAATGTTTTAAGAAAGTTTACGAATTTGTGTTGGGCTACATTCAAAGCTGTCCTGGGTTGTACGTGGTCCATGGGCCAAGGGTTAGGGAAGCTTAGTTTGTTTATTTATTTATTTTTTGAGACAGAGTCTCACTCGGTTTCCCAGGCTGGGGTGCAGTGTTGTGATCTCAGCTCACTTCAACCTCCGCCCCCCAGGCTCAAATGATTCTCATGCCTCAGCTTTCCGAGTAGCTGGGATTACAGGTGTGCACCACCACACCCAGGCAATTTTTGTCATTTTTTAGTAGAGATGGGGTTTCTTCATGTTAGGCTGATCTCGAACTCTTGGCCTCAAGTGATCCACCCGCCTTGGCCTTCCAAAGTGCTGGGATTACAGGCGTGAGCCACTGCGCCTGGCCTGGACAAGCTTAGGTTAGACTGTGTCCAGTTTGAGCCTAAGATAAAGTTCATAGCATGCCTTGTCAGAGTCTACCTTATGAATGATAGGTCAGAACCTCTTCAAAAGCACATTTGAGTTTTGGGAAAGTACTCAACATAAGGGAGGAAGGATCCATGCTTAATGAGGTCTACTCAGTGATGAGGTAGTGATAAAAGAGAAAGGGGATTATGCGTGATAGATACATCATGGGTATTTATCACTCAGATCTGTCTCTGAGCCTTGTCTCCATTGGGTTGATATTTGAGTGTTACTAAAAGCAGGTGTAGCTCTAGTGAACTGGAAAGAGTGCCTTTTGAAAGACAGCCAGGCAGCAGTGTTGCATGATGCTGGGATGTTTAGAAAGTGTAGACTTGCTTTTGATCACACATGAGACAGAACTAGAGATTCACAGAAATACTTAGAAAACTTAGCAGAGGGCTGAGTTAATTCAGTAGATGGGGGTAACAGGCTCTTAAAAATTGAGTAATTATAGTCAATGTGCTTCCCTTTGTACTTTCAGGTAGGTAAAGCCTGGAGAAACGGGTTACATAAAGATATAAAAATCAATATAGAAGTTCTAGAAAAAAATTGTACTTAAACTTCAAAGAATTAGGTAGTGCTAACTTCGACAATCTCTCTTTTCTTACCTATGTTTTTCTTGTCTTTCTTGAAGAAAGTAAAAATGTGAATCAGAATAATGCCATCACTGTTGGTTCCACTGGGATAAAACCAAAACTATCACAAAAATATCCTTTGAAACCTAACACACCTACAGGAAAGTAAAGTATTTCTCTTGTTTTCAGAGACATTCTAAGAAATCTTTATCTCTAAAGGACATAGATACCTCTATAATTTTTTGGCTTCTGAAGAATGAGATAAGTGAAAATTATGACATTAAATTTCTGTCTCTTTAGCAGCAACTCCACCTACTAAGTACTCCAAAAACTCATATTTGTACAAATACAAACTTTTCAGAATAACATCAAATACTTACTTGTCTCCTACAATACCCAAGTTGATTGTGGGGTAACCATGTTCCTGAATTGTTGCTAGAAGAGTTGAACGATTGCTGTCTCGAATCTTCCCTGGTAAGAGGTCATCTTCAGGATTTAGCAGCTACAAAGCCAAAAAACCACCACAAATTATTCTATTAGGATAATGTTGTATATTTCTAATGAAAAAAAAATCTACTAAACTGAGTTTAACATATCTAGCACCTACAATGGTATCTGGCATTTTGAAGGTGAATGCCCAAAGGATCTTTAAATAAATATTGAAAGTATAGGAGGATGAGAAAATGTCCCTATGGAAGTCAGAAAACACTCAGACATTTACCAGGTTGGGCTCCAATTTGATAATAATGCTCTGGAGATACTGGCCAAACTAAATAAAACAATTACCTTTTTTTCTCCCAATATTATTTTCCAATTTATCTTTCATTGGGAATATTTGAGGTACAGATTGTGTGACATGATATCCTTAAGTCTGAACAGAATAATAGTTTATCTTTTCTTTCAAACTTTTTGGTCTCTTTTCTGAAGTGGGGTCAACAGTATCAAAGAAGTTAAGCTTATGTGAAGGACAGAAGACATATTTTGTCTCTGATACTAGGAAACTTAAGTAATACTTAGCTACATGTATGCACAATTCCATTATTCTGAACTGAATTAACCTTCAGAGATTTAATATCTACTATGTCTATGAAGAAAATTAAAGAAGCTTATTATATCTTAGGATGTTCCAATGAGGTAGTCAGATTGTATAGTAGGAAGAGCTTTGGATTCCTATAGGGTTCAAATTCAAGTTGACAAAATTCTTTGTCTTAATTTTCTCATTTATAAAATATAGTAATAATAACTACCTTGCAAGGTAATTGTTAGGAGTGAGATAATGAACATTCAGTTTATGCAGATAAATGTACAATAAATTTGATTCTCTTTCCTTTCTTGATGACATATGATGTCAAAAGATCACCTATTTTCCTCCCAATTGTTCTCATATTGTTACCCCTAGATGCTAGTACAGATGAAATCAGTTTATAATGTGAACACAGACTATTAGATTATAAAATACCTAAGAGTAGTGGGTTCTTAACACACACAGACACATTCTTACAACAATTTATGTACAAGTTTTAAGATATGCTTTGATTTCAGAAATTATGAAGTAAAAAAAGTACTTATTTGAAGTGAGAAAACCTGGACTATTATTTTAGGAGGTTAAAGGCAAGCCTGCACATTTAAGATGTTATAGCTACTAATAGGGCCAACACCAGAGCTTAATATATGAATTCTCCCAGACAATAACCACAAGCCCCAATCTTCCTTCAGACTCATTGGTGATACTACATGGCCAGATTTTTGACTTTATATTGGAAAAGTAGTAGCTTTGCAACCAACTGTCCCCTTACAATAGGCTAGAGGAAAACTCTGACCATCTTATTCAGTGTCACCAGGGAGTCTTCCCTTTGAATACTGTACTAATTTTACTTAATCAGATGCCATGTGACATTGTAACTCACTTTCATTCTTACTCACTGGCAGTGCTTCGAAAATTGCTATTGCAATGCTAACATAGATTAATTTTCTGATCTTAATTAACACACAGTTATTAAAGTGATTATAATTTTATAAGGGGCAAGGCTTGCAGCTCTTTAACTCCATTAATCAAACCAGTTGCTTTAGAAAGAAAACTGTGTGATTATGTCATTTTTTTTCAAAGCAGGGTGCTGACCACCAAGTAAATAAGATTCCTCTGTTATCAGGGTGTTTTCTTTGCTATTTATGTTCCACTCTGTTATTTTGCTGCAAACAGTTCCAGAAATAATGGAAAATTAGAGGTCACTGGAGAACCAGTTATTTGTCTGTAAAACTGACAAAATGAAAAAATAGCTAGTTACATGAGGGTGTGGGATTTACAGTGCATTTTAAATAATTTCAAAGACAACAATACAGAATTAAATGTCAGAGTATAAGGTTAAACATACTAGAATAAACTCACAATTTTTCCTTTTAAAACTGAATCTTATTTTCTGTTATACTTCCAGTCATCTTGGGAATGATGTCTGAAATTTATTATAGTTTCAATAGAAAAAAATACAAGGTAAAACAAAACATAACCCATCATCTCCATATCAAGTCACCAACTTCAATTTCCCATTTTTGGTATTATCAATGGTGCCACTATCTTCCCACTTTTTTTTTTGAGATGGAGTCTTACTCTGTTGCACAGGCTGGAGTGCAGTGGTGCAATCTCAGCTCATTGCAACCTTCGCCCCCTGGGTTCTAGCGATCCTCCTACCACAGCTTCCTGCGTATCTGGGACTACATGCACACACTACCATGCCTGGCTAATTTTTGCATTTTTAGTAGAGATGGGGGTTTGCCATGTTGGCCAGGCTGGTCTTGAACTCCTGACCTCGGGTGATCTGCCTGCCTCGGCCTCCCAAAGTGCTGGGATTACAGGTGTGAGCCACCGCGCCTGGCCTAAACATTTAACTTTGTTTTCCCCTTTGTAGCCCACTCTTCCCAAAAGCCTCAATCATTAAAAATATTCGAATCCATCTCTTCCTTGACCCTACATTTTCATTCACTCTTTTACTACTTCCCAAAACATTTCTAAGCATTCATTGTATTATGTCAGAATTTCTGTGAAAGGTTTATAATTGGCTGCCTTGCCTACAAACTATTTCCTTCTGAGAAATAAAACAGAAACATCAACGTGCAAACTATACCATTATTTGCATAACAGCTAAACTGTACCAAACCAGGACATGTAACTTGAACTAAATTGTTTTTAACACAAGCTTGTTCAGATCCATATACTTTAAGATAAGATCATGGACAACTTGTTTTAACAGTAATTCCACATGGATTCATATGCTCTGAAGATAAGACTGTGATCTATCAATTCACCTATTTTACAAATTCCGACCAATCTTTGTTCAGACCTTGTTTAATAACTTCTACCTTAAAACTACCCCATGGCCAACCCTAGTCCTCAAAATCCTATAAATACCCTCATAAAAATCTTATGACTTCCCAGTTGTGAAACACTACTGAGACTCTGTTGAGGGGTAGCAGAATATACCACCCGAAAATATGCCAACATAACAAATATTTTCGAGCTGAAGACACTTGAGAAGAAAAATGTAATTTTCTTGTTTCAGAGTGAAACAAGGTATCACTCTGTTTCCCAGGTGTAGAAAGAAAATGCCTTTCTCCTGTTTGCCTAAAAGTAGGACATAAATTAACAAAAGTAACTCCCCCAACCCCCGGAGGGATACATTTTTTTTTTTTTTTTTGAGACGGAGTCTCGCTCTTTCGCCCAGGCTGGAGTGCAGTGGCGCGATCTCCGCTCACTGCAAGCTCCGCCTCCCGGGTTCACGCCACTCTCCTGCCTCAGCCTCCCGAGTAGCCGGGACTACAGGTGCCCACCACCACACCCGGCTAATTTTTTTGTATTTTCACTAGAGACGGGGTTTCACTGTGTGTTAGCCAAGATAGTCTTGATTTCCTGACCTCGTGATCCACCCGCCTCGGCCTCCCAAAGTGCTGGGATTACAGGCGTGAGCCACCGCGCCCGGCACGAGGGATAAATCTTTGGACACTTATCAGCCTGCAGATGGCGCCAGAGGAATTTATAGATCAAACTTTATTAACTAGCCTTTAATCTATCATTAGTTTCCCATATATTTGCCTTCCCACAAATTGCCGGCCCTAGAGACTCAAGGTCCTTTTCTTTTGTCTCATCACTTCTCTAAGAATGTATCGTTCTTTGCTGAAGATGTTATTTAAGCCAGACTTCTCAGCCAACACTTTAGGAGTTACTAATTTTCCCTTGGGTATCTCCCATATATACATGAGGTATACATGTTAACTAACTTCTGTTTTTTTCTTGTTAATCTATCTTTTATAGAGGTCCCAGGTAAGAACTCATAAGGGTTGAGGAAAAATTATTTTTCCCTCTCCAGCATTGTCAAGGTGATGTTTTCTTTTCCTCAGAAACTTTTATATAACCATTTTGTATGATCAACAAGTTTCTCAGGTGGTCTTCCTATTAGGATTTTGGTATTATGAAAATCCTACCAAGACTTAGGCGGGAGCCCTTGCCACCAGTTATATTACTGGTTATACTGTATTTCAGTGAGGTCACTTCTGCCTTTTTGTTGGGGGGATTCCTTGTCTATGATGCTTAGATTAACTCCAGCCCTTGTTTTGAGGTCTGATCCTTTTTTTGTTGAACTCCCAAAGATAGCTGATATTTTGTTATAAGTATAAGGTTTCCAGAATTGTTTGGTTATGATTGGATTTATATTAATTTTTTTCTTAGTATTAAGATTTGAAACTGGCCATCCTATCTGTCAACTGGCCACATTGTTGTGTGCCTATAAGAACTTTTCTTAGTTTTGTTTTGTCTATGAGAAACTGGCTTTGGGAAAGATTTCCTCTCTACCCATCCTAGCTTGTTGGGTTTTAGGGTTAGCTGTCAGGGGTTCAACCTTTACTGTTGAGGACTTTAGATACAATATTTAAGCACTATTTTTCCCTTCTGAATGACCAGTAGCTAATGAATTCATGGGTTCATTTAATAATAAACTTGCACTATCTCCAGGCATAACTCTGGCTTCTGTTTTCTCTTTCACATATTTATCTTTCTAAAAAGCATAATTTCATCAAAGACAACTTGGAATTGCAGTGGTCATTTTGAAGTACTTTTGATATGACTATGATTATTCACTATAAAGTATTTTTAGAGACTTAATTAATGCTATAGTCTTGATGGAATCATCAAGGGCCTAAGACACTATTCGAACTGGTTGTAATGACTTCCTTTCTTTCTCACGTATTGAAATGGGTTTGCTTGCTTTTAAGGCTTTCCCACTCTTTGCAAAGAGAAGATGATTAGACTTTTATAGTGGTCAGTAATTCTCTACGTATTTGTGGTAATCATCTCACTTTCTTTCTCTGTCTTCTAGAAAACTTAATTTATTAATCGATCAAAACGCAATTCTGGTTATTATGGACACACCCAGATAGTTCAGATAAATAGGTCTAACAGAAAAAGAGGGAGAAAAGTCAATGAGCTCTTATGAAGCATGTTCCTGTTCCAAATAGCTTTTAACAAAACTCTGGGGGAAAAAAGGTTTAACTGATAGTTAAGCTAATTGCTTGGCTTACTAGGTTACAAGATAAGAAGGGAAGAGAAACATTTAGGGCTTTTAAACATAATTTAAGGAGTCTTTAAGAATTTGGTTTAGAAATACAGAGTTTTACAAATTGTATTAGAAAATAATTACTATAATATTTCCATTAAGCTGACTATGGACAGATTTGATTGGTTTAATAATTTTGGCTTAAAAACTGTCCTGTGAAGTGGCTATGGTAGCATAAGCCTGTAGTCTCAGCTACTTGGGAAGCTGAGGTGGGAGGATTGCTTGAGCTTAGGAGTTTAAGGCCAGCCTGGGCAAAATGGCAAGACTCTTTTTCTTTCTTTCTTTCTTTTTTGGATTCTGAATGAGTTTTCTTTTCCTGTCTTTTTAAAATTTTTAATTCAACAGGTTTTTGGGGAACAGGTGGTATCTGGTTACATGAATAATTTCTTCAGCAGTGATTAGTGAGATTTTGGTGCACCCATCTCCTAAGCAGCTCTGCCCTGCCCTCCCCTCCCCTCCCTTCCTTTCCTTGTTTCTTTTCTTTTCTCTCCCTTCCCTTCCCTTCCCTCCCCTCCCTCCTTCCCTTCTTCCTCCCTCCCTCCCTCCCTTCCTTCCTTCCTTCCTTCTCTCCCTCTCTCTTTCTCTGTTTTTTTTTCAATTTTTTTTTTTTTTTTTCAAGGTATCACTCTGTTTCCCAGGTGTAGTGCAGTGGAATGGTCATTGCTCACTGTAACCTTTGCCTCAGCCTCCTGAGTAGCAGAGACTACAGGGGCATAGCATCATGCCTGGCTAATTTTTGTATTTTTTTGTAGAGTTAGGGTTTTGCCATGTTGCTCAGGCTGGTCTCAAACTCCTAGCCTCAAGTGATCTACCCATCTCAGCCTCCCAAATTGCTGGGATTACAGGCATGAGCCACCACAGGTTGCATATCTAAATTTTAATATGCACAGTTTGTTGAAATCAACAAATATCGAAATCAGCTATTCCATGTTAGCTATAGTTGATAACTCTATATTCCCAATTTTGAAATAATTTGCTGGTCCTTAACAAGCTCATACAGTAACAAAATACTGGGTAGGTTTTAAGGAGTATACATAGACATCTTGTATGGCATTCTTTGGGTTGCCAAGGCAACTGTCCTGCTTACCAATATGTCACATGAAATTCAAGAAGTGGACATATGTGAAACCATATATATCTTTTTTTTTTTTTTGAGATGGAGTCTCTCTCTGTTGCCTAGACTAGAGTGCAGTGGTGCGATCTCAGCTCACTGCAACCTCCGCCTCCTGGGTTCAAGCAATTCTCCTGCCTCAGCCTCCCAAGCAGTTGTCACTACAGGCATGTGCCATCACACCCAGCTAATTTTTTTGTATTTTTAGTACAGACGGGTTTTGCCATGTTGGTCAGTCTGGTCTCGAACTCCTGACCTCAAGCGATCCTCCTGCCTCAGCCTCCCAAAGTGCTGGGATTACAGGCATGAGCAACCATACCCAGCTATTGGTTTTGGAAACTAAAACCAATACTTAAGGAAGTTTGTACTGTGACTGGGTAAATTATGGCCTTGCCACATTAAGTGCAATGTCTTTTGCCCTTTCTGAAAATAGATAATATTTTTTGGCTATTGTTTTCTGGGTATCTGAGAATTTCAAGCCTTCAGGAGAGATAATATGCTTTATCTCCTTTATCACCAATTTCCAGTAAAGTGCCTGGCACAGAGGTACCCAATTATCTGCTGAACAAAACTAAACTATATGATCACAGAGTCATAATAAAAACTAACTTGAATAAGAGAAAGGGAGGAATGTTGAGCTATATGGAACCCAAGATTATATAATTTAGAAGCATTATTCTCTTGGAAAACAGTGGTATAGTTTAGTATAGCAGCCCTGTTAAAGTAGGGGAATGAGTCATGTAGAATTAGTCAAAGCTTCTTCAAGAATAATATGCTCTATAGGGGCAGGGAACTAAGACTACAAATTCTTCCCTAGATTTCATGATATAATACCATCTCTATTTTCATCCCATTACCTTAGCCTACTTCCAGTAATTAGTTTTAACTGAGTGTAAAAGGTAGCTTAAACAAAACACTAACAATATACTCTGTGGATAATTGAGAGGCTGAGTCCAGACCTACAAAAGCATGAGAGAGAAATATAAGCAATATTGCTTAAACAGAGTTTCCTATTAACTAAATAGTTATTTATGAGTGTGTTAATTCTTATTTTACTTTATTTTGTGATAGGGTCTCACTCTGTCACCTAGGCTAAAGTGCAGTGGTGCCATCGTAGCTCACTGCAGCCTTGAATTCCTGGGCTCAAGTGATCCTCCCACCTCAGCCTCCCCAGTAGCTAGGACTATAGGCATGTGCTACCAAGCATAGCTATTTTTAATTTTTTAATAGAGGCAGGGTCCCACTATGTTGCCCAGGCTGGTTTTGAACTCTTAGCCTCAATTGATCCCCCTGCTTCAGCCTCCCTAAATGCTGGGATTACAGGTATAAGCCACCACGCCTGGTCCCTGAGTGTGCTGCTGTTTAGCTTTCTCAAACTCCGTGAACTTACTTGATGCACAAAGCATGTTAAGTAAATAATAAAAAAGAATAGTTCATTGAGTCAACCAGTTTAATAAAAATTTATTTCTGATGCTATATATAGTGTTATTTGGTCCTAAGGATATTAAAATCATTACTGTGTAGATCAAATTGAAAAGAATGTTTGTTTTCTGTCAATCAATAGTTTTTGGAAATGACTAGTGCATATATAGTGGGAAGTAAGCACATCTGGAATGTTGATTTAGCTATCCATTCGCAAAATAAAAGAGTCTGTTCTTTTGCTTTAACCAAAAGGACTATAAGGTCATAAAAAGACCTTTGAAAATTTTCATTTCCAAGACTTCAATAAATTAAAAATAATGATGAGTTTATTTTCAGAACAAAGAGATTAAAAAAAAATCCCATTAATCTTTTCTTTAATAGTAACGTCAAAGGAATTATTAATACTTTAAAAAATCTCAATAGTTTCTGATTCTTTTAAAAGGTTTTGAGTTTCCAGCAGATTCACATTTTAGTATTCTCTATTTGACCTTAGAGCTTCTGACTGAAGTTTTGCACAACCTAAGCAAAACAGGCAATGGGAAGTTTTTTAATAGTTCTCAGAAAGAGATGAACTAAATTCTCTTTTCTAAATCAGGAATGAAATGATGTTTTGACCCATTCTAAATATCATGCCACTAGAGATGCTATCTTTAGGGAGAGAGAGAGAAAAAAAAACCCTGATTATCAAATCCCTCTTGGTGATTAAAGATCAAATGGAACTTTTCGTAAGAAGTACTAGCCATGACGTCCTGATTCACTGATACTTCCCACACAGAAGTGGCCCATCATTTCAGCAGCAGGCTGGGCACAATTCATTGTCTAAACAGAAAAAGTACTGAGTTTGCATAGTTTAATATCTATAGCTAGCAGCTAAAATTCTTTGCTTATGTGTACTGACTTTGTGGAAACGCCATTGGTTATAATATTTCATTCTAATAGAAGAGAACATTTCATAATACATAATTTTTACTAGTTCTTCCTTGTTCTCATATTCTGAACTTGAAACTATCCTTAGGCCAATTTATTGTTTCCCTGTTGTAAGAATGTGGACCCACTGGTATGATCTATAATCTACAACATTCTATTTACAACACAGAACAGATGTCAGAAATACCTTTATCTTACAGGCCCACTCCCCACTCCCTCCATTTTTACTTTTAATACCTCATTCCCTGTTGACATGACTGCAACCACTGGAAACTTATTAACTTCAACCTCTGTGACACCTACAGTTGCCAGAAGACCAATCTCTGAGGGGCCCATGTGGGTTCCTTTGGCCAAAACACATTCCCCTCTTTTAATGTCATGGCCGATGGGTCTGAAAGTCAAAGCAGAACCATAAGCAGTGTGATTAAGAACAACGTTTTCTCAACTCAGAGGGAAACTTTCATGTCAAAAAAAAGGACATTCAAGAGGATAAAAAAGTTAAGAAATAAAGTAGTAGGAAAATAATGAAATGAAGGGATTCTAAAAATCCTATGCTTTTTTAATTTTAAAAGTTAAATCACACAACAGAAAACAGAAATAGGATTTGAATATATTACTGCTAAAGAAAAATATGTTATTTCATATTTGAAAATTTTTTTTTTCCTGAGTACCTGTGAAGAAAATTACTTTGCAAATTGTTTTGTGTTACATTATAGTAAAAATACCAATTGTAAACTTTCTTTGATAAGGCAAGAATTCGTATGAAAATATCTAGTGGCATTAATAAGAGGTCCACAGCTGGCTAGCTTTGTGGCAAGGAGATTAATGCTAATGAGGTTACAGTTATAGAGATAATTTCCATTTGGACCACTTAGGTTAGTCCTGATCTGTGGCTACCGAGGTACATTCACCTTGGTGTGCTGCCATAGGGATGGGAGAAGTGTAGCTTCATTACAAAGGGATGTTCAGCAAATTAGTATTAATGGAATCAGGGTAAACATATTCCATTGTAAGAAAAATAATTTAAGGTATATGCACTATTTATTATAGCAAATAGCTTCATCTTTGCATATAAGGAGGAGCAGATTATTCCATTATTATTGGTAGTCACTAGAGCATATGCTATCAGTTAACTGTGTAAATACCCAATTCTGGTATTATCTGAGTTAATACCAAATTCCAGATTATTTAGGAGTGGGATTGGGTAATTCTGGATTATCTAGGAGTAGAATTAACTGTAGAATATGTAGGCTCATGATTTTACCTCTTTCTCATCTTGCTTTTGACTAACTTGCCTTTACTATCTTCATTAAAAAGTAGGCAGGGCAGATATGTGATACAGAATTCATAACATTCATTTTGCTTTTTGTTAAAGCCCTGAAAATTAATGGCTAATTGACATGGCTGAAGATTTATAGTAGCCAGGGTTTCCTGAGTAAATGATCATGTAGAAACAAAAGTAGGTTATATATTCTATGTGTTTTGAAGTTACCTGATATCTTGGCCTGGCCGAGCTTGCACCAAAATTCGCACTTCAAGTTCTTCAGTGCCCTATAATAAGAGCAGGTCATGTAATTTCAAACAGAATTTCTGAGAAGTAGAATTTAGCTACTCTGATACTTTTACCATCAGATAGGCCCAGGATATATACAAATATAGAGAAAAAGACAATTATTTGCTACACCCTTTGAAAACACTGAATTTCTAACACAGGTTCCTGAAAAATTAGAAGGTTTGGTGGCAATAAATAAAAAAATTAAAATGTACCAATTCAAATATTAAATCTTGTTTATAATACATTATAAATTTATATATATATATACACACACACACACACACATATATATATAGCTACCCTAATAAAGTGAATGTGCATGGAGGTAATAGCTTTCTTCTTTTCCCATGAATCATGGGATCAATACCATGCCAAGGTTACCAGATACTTACAGAAATTTCAGTAAAGGACTTACAGTTTGCCTGGTAGTAGATTTCTGTACATTAATTGCAATAATCAATTTTACATTTATGGGCTGTGAATAATATTGTGACATTGGAACTGTGTCTTGTCATCTGGCAGAGTCTGTGGATGCATGTGTTCTGGAGTTCAGTGCTTTGCTGGCTTCCCTGATGCCAATAAATCTGCTTAGGCAGTTTTAACAGCAGGCAATGTGACCTGTTTGCCAAGAGTTGAATTTTATAAACCTTACATATGGAAAGGTGATTAGAAAGAAAATCTCCAGATCAAGGAAAGTGTCTGTCTCTTGGCATGGCCAATTTTACTATCTACTCAGCTTGGGAGAATATATGTTTATTTTCAACCTCAGCTTTACAATATATCTTTACTTTCTTCACAAAACAAGAAACATAGCTGATTATTAAAACCTCAGTTGAATCTATTCTACTTTTATTACTGGATTATACTCTGGTTTCAATAACCTGCCACTATTTTCAGTGAGATAAAGGCTTGCTTAGATTCCAGCATCTTTTACTTGAGGCAATGGAGGTAGAACTGACATACACTTAATATTTGCAGGCTGTCATTTGGTGGCACAACTTTTTCCGGACTTACAGAAAACCAGAGGTGAAAGGGTCATTTGGTTCAAGTGCTTGGCTTAGTGTAATATTCAATAACTTGCCCAAGTGCTCTTTGTTAAATGCTTCTCTAGTGAATTCTGATTTCATGAACTCCTTGACATTTTATCAGAAGCTAGTCTCAGTGGCAAAATTTTCAGCTGGAAGGTATGTCAACCATTAATATCTCTGCTCTGGAAGGTATCTCAACCATTAATATCTCTGCTTTTCTTTCTTGAGGTACTTTCTTTCCTTGTTTGCATGTGAAACTGCTTGGGTCAAATATGGTTCAAATTCTGCTATAACAGAAATGATCACAGAAACCCCTCTGTAACAATAGATTTTCAAGCTTAAGGAAATTTCTTATTTACTAGAGACTCATATACGACAATATAAGATACCACCATAAGCAAAAACAAAACAAAACAACCCAAAAAACTGGGTTAATCTCACAAACATTGCAGAAAATGGTTGTGACATAATACTGCCATAGGAACAACAGCACAGGAAGAGTTGGTGATGACGTACATCATCTGATTCCCTGATAAGTTCAGTATCTTCCACTTGTACTACTGCATCAGCACCGCAGGGTATTGGAGCACCTGTTGTAACCCGCATGACTTGTCCTGGCATTACTGTCTGAGTTGGCTGGAAATAAACATGAAAAAGACAGTTGATGTACTTTGCTGCTGCAAAGGAAAAGTCTGCAGAGGATGTTAATTTTTTTAATATTACAAAAATAAAAGAAAGTCTTACAGTCTTATTCATTTTGGGCCATGTAATAAAAGTTACCCACAAACAGGTGCACTCACACTAAAGAGGCTTTAGGTTCATTTAACCTGATTTTATATGTACTTTAAGGTAATAACTATTAGGTGTCTTTCTTGGTGCTCTGCTTTACTTTTGAAGAACTGCCATTTACATTTGCCACTTTTGCCTCTCAAATAATGTACATTTTCCTAATATATGCAAAGTGATTTGAGAGTATGTAAGTGAAAAAATTGCTAGGACATACATTACGAATAACAATTACAAAAAAATCACCTTGGTAAATTACTGAAGTTCTGATGTTTGAGAAATGCAGTACTTTATTAACTAAACTTTTTGGTTAAATAAAGGCAAGCCAGAAATATTTTAAGTACTGCCTTTGAAAATATTCTAAAACATAAAAATATTCTAAAACATATTCTCACCTATCAATTAATAATAGAAGTTGAGCAAATATAACCAAATCTTTAAAAACGATTCCAGTGTCTGTAATGACCTAGGTTAAACATTACTTTTGAAAATGAAAAACAAGATTTTCATTGTCTATGCTCTCATATTGATGGTATAAGAGATAGAACCTTCCCTGCTAACTTCTTACAACATGGGGAAAAGCATTTTTCCGTAAGATTCATCTGATAGATTTGATTGATAGACAAGTGATCTGAAAGTCACTTGTCAGGGGCAATGATTTAGACTGAAGTTTGGAAAAGGAATGCTTCAAATTCCCCCTAAGAAAAAATCCTGAGACAATATTAATCCCCCCCTGCCAAAAGATTACTTTCTAAAGATGTCTGCCTCATAAGTATAGTCATGTGCTGCATAAGGATAGTTTGCTCAATGCTGGACTGCATATATGATGGTGGTCCCATAAGATTACCATATTTTTACTGTACTTTTTGTTTTGATAAACAAATACTTACCATTATAATTGCATACAGTATTCAGTACAGTAATACGCTGTGCAGGTATGTAGCCTAGGAGTAACAGGTTATACCACGTAGACTAGGTGTGTACTGGGCTAAACCATCCAGGTTTGTGTAAGTACACTCTATGATAGTTGGACAACAAGAAAATTGCCCAACAACATATTTCTCAGAATATATCTTCGTTAAGTGACTCATGACTCTATTTAAAATCTTAAGTCCCTACATTGTGAATATATTTACCACTACAAAACTATAAGCTTAAAAACCGTCAAGATGGTATATTTAATGTTATATGTGTGTGTATGTTTTGTTGTTGTTATTTTAACAACCAAAATAAGATAAAGTAAAATAAATCACACATATACACACACACCCCTTAGGGAATGGTTAAGAAAAAAAAATACCCTACTACTGAAAGTATAATCAAAGTAAAATAGGAAATTTATTAGAAAAATCTTAAAAATCTTCTCTCCATAATATTATTACTGCAAGCAATACTACCAATAACTAATATTTATTGAACCCACAAGCTATGCTAGGTACAATGTTAAGTACATTATATATTCTAGAATATAAGCCTTACAAAGACAAAGATTTGTTTCATTTTCTGTTTGCCTCTCCAGATCACATCATCATTCTCTACTCTGTGCTGTAGTCCAGAAGCTGACCTCTATGGACTATTTTAAACAGGTTCCCATCACTTTGGCGTCTGGTGAGACTCAGCCAAAGGGAGGGGTCAGTAAGATATTAGAGGGTAGAAGGGAGACAGAGAAGTAGAGTTTTCATTTTCCTTGCTCTTTTCCTCCTGGGCTGCAGTTTGGTGATAGTTAGGGCATCTCTACTACTGAGGGCAACAGCTGCTGTTGGGCAGTCCTCTCCCATAGCTATGAATCTTCCCAGGTTCAGGTACCGTCATCTTTCTTTGATCCTTCAGACTAAGAGGTAGTAAGGAAATCTCATGGTTGCTAGCTCCTGGGTGCTGCAGATTCCTTTGTTGGTTTCCCTTAACTCCATCCAGACATTGGAGATAGTTTCTAATCTTTAATCATCCTTTTTCCAGACATATTGGTCTGTTACGGCAAGGCTTAGAAAGTGTGTGGCACACACTTTGCCAAGCTGAGCACCTATGCATCCCAGGCTGAGCTGATGTAGTCGCTCATATTCTAGAGAAACAGTGCTGATTGAGCCAAGATACTCTGACCTACAGGTCAAATAACTCTAGTACCCTGCTTCTCTGGAGCTAGACAATAGCCCCTTAGAGTCTGAGCTGCTGAGATTCCTCTCTCTCTGGGGAGCTGAGTCATTTCTGTGTTGATCCTTGTCCCCCTGGTGATCGAACCACAGCTGTGCTCTGCCATTCTAAGGTGTCTGCTGCTGCTGCACCTGGCCTCAGAGTCTGAGGCAAGGATCTGTGTAGCCCCGCCATCCAGGGGTCTAGAGTCACTACTACACAGTACCTTATCCACTGTGACCAGAGCTGCTGCTGAGCCCTACTGGCTCTGGTTCCTGAGCTGCGGCCATACCCTGCTCCCCTGGCCAAAACCTTTCTCCTTGGAGTTTGGTCAGTACTACACCCTACCTATTAGGTATAAAATCACAGGTACAACCAGGGCACCTGGGTCCAAGCTGCTAGGGGGTGCCTCAGAGTCATAAATCTTGGTTCTTTGGGTAACCTACACCCAACTCTGCCACAGAGAATGAACCTGAACCCCAAGAACCAGGTGCCACAATGCATTCACAAGACCCTGAGCTTTGGATCCTGGCTCCACAGTCACTCCAAGCACCATTTTTGAGCCTAGTGCCACTGTAGCTGCTTGGAGGGCATGTCAGACCTAACGCCAAGAGGGATCCCTTCAGCTGATTCTCCCTATTGTGTGGAAAACAAGAAGAGGAGGACTCCAAAAACCCTTCACACCAAGGATATTAACAGCCTATGACACTACTACCACTGACACAAACTTCTATGGATTAGGCCACTGAAGTACTCACAGTTACTGCTGACATTGAATGCAACTGAAAAAGCTGCATGGAGACTACACCATTGCACCTGTCCAGAAAGTCACCATGCCCTTTGCAACCAACACACTAAAGGCCAACTACAGGCTTCTCTACAAAACCACCCTAGAAAGTCTGAAAGAAGCAATAGTTCCACCAGGCACACAGATCAACATGGGGACACAAGAAACACAAAAAAGCAAGGAAATATGACACCACTAAAGGAATACATCTCTAGTAACAGACTCCAATGAAAAGGAAATCAGTGAACTCCTGGAGAAGAAATTGTAAAATAATGATCTTAAGGAAACTCAATTAGATACAAAAAAACCACCTAGTTATAATTCAACAAAATCAGCAAAACAATTCATAAGAACGAGAAATTCAACGAAGATATAGAAATCATAAAAAAGAACCAAACAGAAATCCTGCAGCTGAATAATTCAAATAATGAAATAAAAAATTACAATAGAGTGCTTCAATAGCAGTTTTAATAACGCAGAAGAAAGAATCTTTGAACTTGAAGACAGGCCATTTGAAATACCCAGCGAGAGAGAGAGAGAGAGAGAGAAAGAGAAGAATGAAAAAGAGTAAAGAAAGCTTGTAAGACTTATGGAACGCCATACAAGAACAAATATCCATATTATTGGAGTTTCAGAAAAAAAGAAAGGAAAAGGCATAAGAAACTTATTTAATAAAATAATCGCTGAAAACTTCCCAAGTCTGGGGAAAGGTATGGATATCCAGGTCCAGGAAGTCCAAAGGTCTCCAAATCAAGTCATATATAATGAAATCCACATTAGACTAACAGTAGATTTCTCTGCAGAAAACTTACAGGCCAGGAAGAAAGGAGATAATATCTTCAAAGTGCTGAAATAAAAAAATTTCTAACTCTGAATACTATATGCAGCAAAGTTATCCTTTGGAAATAAGGGAGAAATAAAATCTTTCCCAGACAAGCAAAAATGGAGAGAATTCATTACTACTACACTGGTCTTACAATAAATTCTCAAGGGAGTCATATATCTGGAAGCAAAAAGACAATAATCACTATCATAAAAACACACACAAGCATAAAACTCACTGGTACAGCAGATTAACAAAGGAGAAAGAGAAAAGAATAAAAGAGTATCAATATAGAAAACAACCCAACTGCAATGATAAACAATAAGAGAAAGAAGCAGCAGGCCGGGCGCGGTGGCTCAAGCCTGTAATCCCAGCACTTTGGGAGGCCGAGACGGGCGGATCACGAGGTCAGGAGATCGAGACCATCCTGGCTAACCCGGTGAAACCCCGTCTCTACTAAAAAATACAAAAAATTAGCTGGGCGTGGTGGCGGGTGCCTGTAGTCCCAGCTACTCGGGAGGCTGAGGCAGGAGAATGGCGTGAACCCAGGAGGCGGAGCTTGCAGTGAGCTGAGATCTGGCCACTGCACTCCAGCCTGGGCGACAGAGCGAGACTCCGTCCCAAAAAAAAAAAAAAAAAAAAAAGAGAAAGAAGCAGCAAGGGGTAAGCAAACCCAGAAAACAATAAAATGACAGGAGTCCTCATCTATTAGTAAGAACCTTAAATGTAAATAGATTAAATTCCCTAGTTGAAAGATACAGACAAGCTGAATGGATTAAAAACAAAACAAAACAAAACAACTATTTGCTGCCTACATGAGACTCACTTCACCTATACAGATACATATAGACTGAAAGTGAAGAAATCAATCAAGATATTTGATGCAAATGGAAACCAAAATCAGGTAAGAGCAGTTACATTTATACCAGATAAAACAGACTTTAAGTCAGAAACTGTAAAAAGAAATACAAGAGAAGTCATTCTATAATTATAAAGGGATCAATTTACCATAAGGATACAACAATCGTAAACATATATGCATTGAACATGGGATCACCCACTATAAAGCAGGTATTATTTATCTAAAAGGAGAGACAGATTCCAATACAATAATATTTGGGGAGTTTGACACCCTACTCGCAGCATTGGACAAGTCATACAGATAGAAAATCAACATAGAAACGCTGGATTTAAACTGCATTTCAGACCAAATAGACATAACAGATATTTATAGTACATTTCATCCAAGAGCTGTATAATACACATTTTTTTTTCACTAGCACATGGAACATTCTCCAGATAGACCATATTAGGCTACAAAACAAGTCTCAATAAATTTAAAAGAACTAAAATTATATCAAATTTTTTTCCAACCACAATGGACTAAAAGTATAAATCAATACAAGAGGAACATTCAAAATTGTACAAACATGTAGAAATTACAGAATATGCTCCTGAGCAACCAATGGATCAATAAATTTATTAAGAGATACATAGATTTCCCAAAACAAACAAAAATAGAAACACAGCAGACAAAAACCTATGGGATACAGCAAAAACAGCATTAAGAGGGAAGTTTATAGCAATAAACACCTGTATCAACATGGTAGAAAGATTTCAATGAAACAACATAGTGATATATCTCAAGGAATTAGAAAAGCAAGAACAAACCAGATCCAAAATCAGAAGAAGGAATGAAATAATAAAGATCAGAGAAACAAATGAAATTGAGACTAAAACACCATAAAAGATGAATGAAATTAAAGTTGACTTTATGAAAATATAAACAAAATTGACAAAGCATTAGCTAGACTACTAAAAAAAGACCCAAGTAAACAAAATCAGAAATGAAAAAGGAGGCATTACAACTGATACTACAGAAATACAAAGGGTCATTAGAGACTACTAGGAAGAACTACATGCCAAAAAATTAGAAAACCTAGTAGAAATGGGTAAATTCCTCAATACATACAATCTACCAAACTTGAGCCAAGAAGAAATAGAAAACCTGAACAGATCAATCATGAGTAATGAGATTGAATCTGTAATAAAGTCTCCCATTGAAGAAAAGCCCAAGATCTGATGACTTCACTGCTTAATCCTACCAAACATTTAAAGAAGAACTCATACTAATTCTTCTCAAATTCTTCTGGAAAACTGAAGAGGAAGAAATTCTTCCAAACTCAATCTATGAGGTCAGCATTATTCTGATACTCAAACCAGAAAAGGACACAACACAAAAAAGGAAAACTATAGGCCAATATCCTTGATGCAAAAATGCTTAATGAAACACTTGCAACTGAATCCAGCAGCATATTAAAAAGATCATTCACCATGATCAAGTGGGATTTACCCTGGGGATGCAGGGGTGGCTCAACATATGCCAGTCAATAAACGTGATACATCACACCAACAGAATGAAGGACAAAAACTATATGATCATCTCAACAGACTTAGGAAAACATTTGATAAAATTCAACAATCTTTCATGATTAAAACTCTCAACATCTTAGGTATAGAAGGAATGAGTGTACACAGTGAAGGCCCTAGATGACAAACCCACAGCCAACATCATACTGAATGGGGAAGATTTGAAAGCTTTTCCTCTGAGATCTAGACCAAGACAAGGATGCCCACTTTCAACACTTTTATTCAACACAGTACTGGAAGTCCCAGCCAGAACATTTAGGCAAGAGAAAGAAATAAAGGGTATCCAAAGGGGAAAAGAGGAAGTCAGACTGTACCTGTTTGCAGATAACATGATCTTACATATAGAAAATCCTAAAAGCTCCACCAAAAACTCTTAAAACTGATAAATATAGTACAGCTGCAGGATACAAAATCAACATACAAAAATAAGTAGCATTTCTATACACCAAGAACAAACTAGCAGAGAAAGAAAATGAGAGAGCAATCCCATGTATAATAACTACAAAAAAATCTAGGAATAGATTTAGCCAAGGAGGTAAAAAATCTCTATAAGGAAAACTATAAAATACTGATGAAAAAGATTGAAGAAGCCATAAAAAAAGAGAGAAAGAAACAGCATCCCATGTCATTGGGTTAGAAGAATTAATATTGTGAAAATGACCATACTACCAAAAAAGCAATCTACAGATTCATTGCAATTTCTATATAAATACCAAGTGACATTCTTCACAGAAATAAAAAATCCTACAATTTGTATGAAACCACAAGAGACCCCAAATAGCCAAAGCTATCCTGAATAAAAAGAAGAAAACTGGAGGCTTCACACTGTCAGAAATCAAAATATACTACAAAGCTATAGTAACTGAAATACATGGTTTGGACAGCAAAACAGACACACTGACCAATGGATCAGAAGAGAGAACCCAGTGAGGTTGGAGCCCCCCCACAGAGTCCATACTAGGGTGAAGGTTGCAGTGAGCTGAGATCATGCTGGGCAACAAAGCAAGACTCTGTCTCAAGAAAAAACCCACAAACCAAAAAGCAAGAACAAACTCTCTCCCCGCCAAAAAAACCCAAACAAACAAACAAACAAAATAAGACAAGTCATTTATAAAAAAGAATCAAACCTAGCTGTTCTTTTTGTCAGAAAAATGGTCATGGTAATGAAATCCAGATTGGTGCAGCATGGACAAGAATATATATCACTATAGTGCCAACTTAGCTTCAGAGAGCTGTATGTGAATCTCCTCAATTTTTGGATGCTAAAATGAGGAAGCTAGGGTTAACACCATTGGTACCATCCTTCTCCTATATATCTCAACTCATTTCTACTGTTAATCCATGCTAAGCCAAAGAAGAAAGGCATGGAACATAGTGTTTGCCAAACTGCTGCCTTCATTTCAAAAATTATTATTTATTTATTTCTTGTCACTTTTATTTATTTTTATTTTTATTTTTTTGAGACGGAGTTTCACTCTTTGCCCAGGCTGGAGTGCAGTGGTGAGATTTCGGCTCACCGCAACCTCTGCCTCCCAGGTTCAAGCGATTCTCCTGCCTTAGCCTCCAGAGTAGCCGGGATTACAGCTACGTGCCACCATGCCTGGCTCATTTTGTATTTTCAGTAGAGACAGGCTTTCTCCATGTTGGTCAGGCTGGTCTTAAACTCGCAAACTCAGGTAATCTGCCCGCCCTGGCCTCCCAAAGTGCTGGGATTACAGGCGTGAGCCACCGCGCCCGCTGACACTTTTATTTTTTTATATTGCATGGTAGTAGCAGTTGAGTATTCCATCTCAGGAAGAGGAAACTTTAAAGGGGAGCAGAAGGGAAAGGAAAAAAGTTCTTTGGTTTTCTTCTAGTTCCATTCAATAAGGTAGGAGCTCTGTCGATCAACCTTTGTAACTCACCGGATTGACAGATGCTATTTCCTCTTAAACAAAACAATGGCCCCAGCACACTTCAAGTTTGAAGCTGTCACACTCTTCTCTTGTATACCTGTAAGCTGCCACTCCAAGAATCAACTGAGTTTGTTCCCAAACTTGTTTGTGCCAGTGTGTGGCAATAGTTTTAACTGAAATATGTTGTTTAAATAAATATGGCCAGGTGCGGTGGCTCACGCCTGTAATCCCAGCACTTTGGGAGGCTGAGGTGGGTGGATCACAAGGTCAGGAAATCAAGACCATCCTGGCTAACATGGTGAAACCCCAACTCTACTAAAAACACAAAAACAAAAAATTAGCCCTGCTTGGTGGTGGGCACCTGTAGTCCCAGCTACTTGGGAGGCTGAGGTGGGAGAATGGCGTGAACCCAGGAGGCAGAGCTTGCAGTGAGCCAAGATCGTGCCACTGCACTCCAGCCTGGGCGACAGAGCAAGACTATGCCTTAAAAAGGAAGGAAGGAAGGAAGGAAGGAAGGAAGGAAGGAAGGAAGGAAGGAAGGAAGGAGGGAAGGAGGGCAGGAGGGCAGGAGGGAAGGAGGGCAGGAGGGAAGGAAGGAAGGAAGGAAAGAAATATTACATAAACCAATGATATATGAGTGTGAAAGAGTTATTTTTTTTCTATAAAAATTAAGTCAAACCTTTTGGAAACCTCCATTAAAAATGCTGCTAAAAAGAAATGCTGTAAAATTAGGTGTGAGTGAGGAAACTAAAAGAATGTAAAATATAATAAAACCCTAAAAGGATTCTGTTCTTCTATGTATTGCAAGTATTGCTCAGTTTTTTCCACTTTAAATAAATCAAAATGGAAATCAGAGACATTGCCTTTTGTGTGGTTTATGTAAGAAAGACCTGATAGCAATTAAAACAGCATACTTATTTAAAATGAAGACCTTGGCTCTTCATCAAGTTATTGACTAATAAATATTTGTTTAACTTAAATTTATATTTATTTTAAATGTATAAAATAATTTCCCACTTTAACTGATTTTTCAATTAAGTGGCCAATTACCAGGCTCAAAGCGTCAAATGGACTTGTATTTCCATTATGGCCCATTATTGCTTCATTTCTTAATATAAATATATGTATACCTGGTCCCTGGCTAGATCCCAAGTGAGAAAAATTAAATAATTAGCTAAAGAGTTTAAATAATCTACTTCTTCTAAGTTTCCCTATTTGTAACACAAGTTGGGGAGAAGTCTGAGAAGACTAACTAGAAATTGTTCTATTCAGAATTTTTTTTTTTTTTTTTTTTTCCAGGAAAAAAAGAATCACCCAGTCACAGGTCTGGAAAATGCTTGTAATGCATGTCTGTGAGACATACTAATAATACTATGCCATATATTAATATATGTAGATTTTTCAATTAAGAAATAATTCTTTTGGTTCTCCTGGGAACTATACTTTCATCCCTTTGATAACTTTCTGACTAATCTCTCTAATTTCCACTACACTGATAGGAGAAATTTAGAATTAGATACCCAAAGTCCATGAAGCTGAAATCTTCAGTGCCTTTCAGGCCTACTAATCTCACCTGTTCACCAGCTTGGGATTCCCCAATGATGAAACGATCTCCTGGGCCATCAGCAGCTGTGAGATGGAACAGAGCCAAGAACAAACATCAGTATGGACCTATAGCATGGAAAAAGAACCTAAAATTGGAATTCTAAAATTTGACTCAAATTATTTGATAAGACTTAGAGAAGTGGAATATTTTTCTGATCTCCTAGACTTGACAATGACTTTGTTACTACTGGTTTAATGTTTGGTATCTGCAACTCACATGCACTGATAGAAGTGGTCCTAATTGTACCACTGGTGACTAATTGTGCCATGGTGTCACTGGAGATGGTCTTCCTGTTACCTTGTAATTTCCACACTTGTGCTTTTCTAATGTTATTCTAGCCGATCTTCCTAATACTACCTTATCCATGTGTACGTATGTGTCATGTGTGTGTGTACACTCATGGATATATGTATATATACACACACACATATATATGTGTGTATATATATGTGTGTGTATATATATTTGTATATATATCCATATATCTCCATTTTTCAATAACAATTTAACTACTTCGTACTGTTTTCTTATTTATCTCCCAGTCTGGGCTTCCTGATGTGAAATAGGAAGAACATTCCTTTCTTCATTTGACGGCTGAAGGAAATGAATTATAGAATGAAAGAATTCAGGTAGAAAGAAAAGGTAAAGTACTCTGAACAACTTCTGGTTAATGGTAGAGCTAGGACTAAAATCCAGCCTCATAACTGTAGCACAGTATTTTTAAATAATGTATCAAAATTCTATTTATCAGTTAGAATACATAGGCAGTACTGTATCACATTTTCCATTGGCTATTTATTTTTAAATTGAAAAAAAAAAATTCCAGAATTGGGATGAAAAAAGTTTATTAACAAATATATACAGTATAACAATGGCTAGATGAAGAAACATTCTTGGCGATTTAAAGAGTTTTCTTGACATATGATGTGGCTTTCAGACCAATATGATGGGGCAAAAATGTCTATCTAGTATGTTTTAAAATCATGACCATTACCTTCACGTTATCTGCAAACAGCAGAGTTTTGGGGGCATATCTACAAAAAATATATACATTATATATGAATATTTAACATTTATAATCATAGTGATAATGATATTTTCTCTTTTTAAAAGGGCATTAGATTAATTGCTCATTTATGTAGCTATAAAGTGATATTTTTTTCTAAAGGCTTATATAAAACACTGTTTATAATGAAGTCATCCCTTTTTTGCATAAATGGTTTTGGTTAGCATGATGTGAAGTAGGACAAAAATTAACACTGGGTCCCTTCTGTCACAAGATGTTGTATTTTATGCTTTATAGATATTATCCAAGTTAATAAACTCTTGTTTTTCTGTGTTTTTTTTTTGAATCCTGTTATATTGTTCAATTTTTACTTGTAAAAAATATTATAGAAGAGTTTTATGGTAATGTTATTTTATTAAGCCATTTTCATGGGTTATTTTTTTTTAAAGTTTAAGAAGTTTTTACAATAGGCCAGGTGTGGTGGCTCACACCTATAATCCCAGCACTTTGGGAGGCTGGGGCAGGCAGATCACCTGAGGTCAGGAGTTTGAGACCAGCCTGACCAACGTGGAGAAACACTGTCTCTACTAAAAATATAAAATTAGCTGGGTGTGGTGGCAAATGCCTGTAATACTAGCTACTCGGGAAGCTGAGGCAGGAGAATCGCTTGAACCTGTGAGGCGGAGGTTGTGGTGAGCTGAGATTGTGCCATTGCACTCCAGCCTGGGCAACAAGAGTGAAACTCCGTCTCAAAAAAAAAAAAAGTTTTTACAACAGACATAGAAGTCATTGCTTCAACAATTATCAACATTTTACCAATCTTGTTTCATCTATTCCCCCAATTATTTTTGCCATCTTTCAGAGCAAATGATAATTTTCTTACTGTAGAAAATTAAAACATCAATTACCTTTCAAAGTTCCACACTAACTGCATCTCAAACGTGAATAAACTTACTTAAAATTGTTTCTCTACTACATAAATAATTATCAGCTTGCTACCTCCTATGACAACCTAGATATTTTCTCTCTCTTTTTTTGTTTTGAGACGGAGTTTCGTTCTTGCTGCCCAGGCTGGAGTGCAATGGCGCGATCTCGGCTCACTGCAACCTCTGCCTCCCGCGTTCAAGCCAATCTCCTGTCTCAGCCTCCCGAGTAGCTGGGATTACAGGCATACGCCACCACACCCAGCTAATTTTTGTATTTTATTTTATTTTGTTTTTTTAGTAGAGATGGGGTTTCATCATATTGGTCAGGCTGGTGTCAAACTCCTGACCTCAGGTGATCCACCTGCCTCAGCCTCCCAAAATGCTGGGGTTACAGGCATGAGCCACCGTGCCTGACCCGTTTTCTCTTTTTTTACTTCCTGCACAAGGGGGAAATTAGCATTGTTTTAGAGTAAAGAAACCTGAATCTGAATCCTGGTTCTGTTTATTGTTAGCTTGAGGGACTCTCAGCAAAATTACTAAACTTCTCTAACCTTCAGTTTTCTTGTTGGTAAAAATGGGGATAATCACACTTTTAAAACAATACCTTTGAAGCTCTTTATTCCTTTTATTCATTCAGTAAATGTCTGTTGAGTGTCTTTTATGCCCCAAGTGTTAAATTAGGGGCTGGAGAGAGAGTAGGGGGTAAACCTAGACACTGCTTCTATTTTAGTGCAGTGCCAACCTGTTACAAGGTTTTTCAAACTCTGGATGACAAATGGAGGTAGGCTGTAAAATCAACTTGTGAAGAACTTTTTAATGAAAAGGATAGAAACATATTTCAACACACATGGTAAGGATGACTCTTGTTTCATAAAACTTATTTTTGTTTATATATGTGTATGTATGTATATTTATATGTACCATATATGTTATATATGTGTGTGTATATCATTGGCTTGTGATGTATAATATATTTAATGTATTTCTTCCCATGGGTGTGGTTAAAATAAAACTCTTAAAGTCACTGATGCATCAGGAGAGGCAGATATTAATCAAATAATCACATTAATGAATACATACATACAAATTAAGAAAAACACTCCAAAGCAAAGAAACATGATTTTATGACAGTATACAATTAAAGTACCTGAGCTACACTGGAGGGTCACGAAAAGCATGATAAAAGAATTTCTGATTTGAATATGAAGAATGAGTATGAGCTAAGTAGGGGTGTGTGTGGAGTGTGTGTGTGTGTGTATGTAGGTGGGGGGAGAGAAAGGGAGGGAGATAGGGAGGGAAGGGAGGAGAGGGAGAGAGAGGAAAAGATAGACATGAAGTGGAAGTGCTCCATCATTGTGTGCAAACAGAACATATGTGCAGAGGCCTTGGTTCATGTCTTCCTTATACCTTATACTCTAGCTATTATCAACTGCTAGTACTATCCCTGAGAGTACCAAGATAATTCATATTTTGGCTCCATGACATATGCTACTTCCACTATTTAAAGTATCCTTTTCTTATTCTTGCCTTCTGATTAAAGATTTTCTAGCTGTTAAGGCTCAAGTGTCATCTTCTCTATGAAGTCATATCTGACTCCTCTCCCCTCAAGAGTTGTCAGCATCCTCTTTTGTTTCCCCAGTGTAGCCTGAAATCAATTATAGCTTTTAAATGTACTTACAGTATTTGCAAATCCCTGGCACTTGCTGTACAATGGGTGTTAAATAAATGTTCAATATGTTAAGTATTCAAAATTGTGGGTAGATGAATGAATGTGTTCCAAAAATGTTCTTAGAAGATTCATGCACAAATGAACAAATAAGTAATATTTTCTAACACAAAGTTCTATATTTGTTATATATACTTTTTGCTGATCCATATATATTGTTTCCTTCAAAATTTGAGTCAGCATCTTAAGAATGTTTAGAAAGATTGCTTTGGCTGGGCAAATCACTTCAGCTCAGGAGTTTGAGACCAACCTGGGCAACATGGCAAAACCCCATCTCTACAAAAAATACAAAAATTAGCCAGGTGTGGTGGTGTGTGCCTGTAGTCCTAGCTACTTGGGAGGCTGAGGCACAAAGATGGCTTAAGAACTGGGTGGTAGGTGGGGAGTGGAGGTTTTAGTGAGCTGAAATTGTACCACTGCACTCCAGCCGGAGCAACATAGTGAGATCCTGTCTCAAAAAAAAAAAAAAAAAAAAAGAGACTGCTTTGATTAATTCTGTATAACTTAGATTATGTCATTATTCTATCTAGCATAGTGCCTAGCTCATTGTTGATAATAAATATTTGTTAAAAGAATAAAGAAATGAAGTTGGCATTCTCATAAAGTTTTAGGTGGGAAGTATTTCTCTTTTCTCCTGTAAATGCTCATATCAATGTTCTGCATAATCCTCTAAATAAACTGAATAATGAGTAGCTGGAGGTCATCTGGGAGGTCATCTGGGGCAACCTAGTATGGAGTTTCAGGGAAGTCCACATGTGAAAGCGCTCTGAAGTGATTCTAAGGAGCAAGGTCTTTGTTACTGAGGAAAGTATACCAATTGTGGAGAGAATATGTGCTCACTTGCACTATGTTCTCTACCTTACCCTGAACCTTTCCAGTTGGTAAATGTGTCTCTATATTGCTAGCTAAGGAAGAATCAGTCAACCAACTACACAAAAGTTTCTTGGTACCAAGAGAGGAGTCATTTTTATTATTTCTCTTATTTCTCAACATTTAGTGTGCATGCAAATCATCTGGATATCTTGTGAATACACAGATTCTAATTTAGTAGGGCTGGGACAGGGCCTGAGATTCTAAATTCTAACAAGCTGATGCTGAGGCTGCTGGTCCATGGATTACCCTTTTTGAGGAGCAGAGCACTATAAGATCTAACTGAATATAGACAAATTCAGACTAAGAGAACATTTAAGGAATAAAAAATTAGTGAACTACAGGAGTCCAAATTTTACATTAACACTAAGGTTTGTCTTATAAAGACAGAAAAATAATTATCAATCTATCTAACTTCCTGATACAGTCATGAGTCACTTAACAATGGGGATATATTCTAAGAAATGCATTGTTAGGCAATTTTGTTGTGTGAAC